TGTGTGTGTCTTGTGTGTGTGTGTGTGTCTGTGTGTGTGTGTGTGTCTTGTGTGTGTGTCTGTGTGTGTGTGTCTGTGTGTGTGTGTCTGTGTGTGTGTGTGTGTGTCTGTGTGTGTGTGTCTCTGTGTGTCTCTGTGTGTGTGTGTGTGTGTTGTGTGTGTGTGTGTGTGTGTGTGTGTGTGTGTGTGTGTGTGTGTGTGTGTGTGTGTGTGTGTGTGTGTGTGTGTGTGTGTGTGTGTGTCTGTGTGTGTCTGTGTTGTGTCTGTGTCTGTGTGTGTGTGTGTGTCTGTGTCTGTGTGTGTCTGTGTCTGTGTCTGTGTCTGTGTCTGTGTGTCTGTGTGTCTGTGTGTCTGTGTGTCTGTGTGTCTGTGTGTCTGTGTGTCTGTGTGTCTGTGTGTCTGTGTGTCTGTGTGTCTGTGTGTCTGTGTCTGTGTGTCTGTGTGTCTGTGTGTCTGTGTGTCTGTGTGTCTGTGTGTCTGTGTGTCTGTGTGTCTGTGTGTCTGTGTGTCTGTGTGTCTGTGTGTCTCTGTGTCTGTGTCTGTGTGTCTGTGTGTCTGTGTGTCTGTGTGTCTGTGTGTCTGTGTGTCTGTGTGTCTGTGTGTCTGTGTGTCTGTGTGTCTGTGTGTCTGTGTGTCTGTGTGTCTGTGTGTCTGTGTGTCTGTGTGTCTGTGTGTCTGTGTGTCTGTGTGTCTGTGTGTCTGTGTGTCTGTGTGTCTGTGTGTCTGTGTGTCTGTGTGTCTGTGTGTCTGTGTGTCTGTGTGTCTGTGTGTCTGTGTGTCTGTGTGTCTGTGTTTGTTTGTGTGTGTGTGTTTGTATGTGTGTGTGTGTCTTGTATGTGTGTGTGTGTGTCGTGTGTCTGTGTCTGTGTCTGTGTCGTGTGTGTCTGTCTCTGTCTCTGTCTCTGCCTCTGTCTCTGTCTGTTTGTCTGCCTGTTTGTCTGTCTGTCAAATGCCTGCCTGCCTGTCTGTGTTTTCTTTTTGTGTGTGTGTGTTTGCGTGTGTGTTGCGTGTGTGTGTGGTGTGTGTGTAAAGTGTCTGTGTGTGTGTGTGTGTTGTGCCAGTGTCTGTGTTTGTGTTTGTGACTCTGTGTGTGTGTGTGTTGTGTTTCTGTGTGTGTGTGTGGATTGCGTGTGTGTGTGTTGTGTGTGTGTGTCTGATGTGTGTGTGCTGTGTTTCTGTGTCTGTGTCTGTGTTTGTGTTTGTGTTTTTGATTTTGTGTGTGTGTGTTTTGTGTGTGTTGTGTGTTGTGTTGTGTGTCGTGTGTTGTGTGTTGTGTGTTGTGCGTTGTGCGTTGTGCGTTGTTGTGTTGTGTGTTGTGTGTTGTGTGTTGTGCGTTGTGCGTTGTGCGTTGTTGTGTTGTTGTGTTGCGTGTTGTGTGTTGTGTGTTGTGTGTTGTGTGTTGTGTGTTGTGTGTTGTGTGGTGTGTCGTGTCTGTGTCTGTGTCTGTGTCTGTCTGTGTCTGTGTTTGTGTTGCGTTTCTGTGTGTGTGTGTTTGCGTTTGTGTCTCTGTGTGTGTGTTTTTGCGTTTGTGTCTCTGCGTGTGTGTGACACTGTGTGTTTGCGTCGTTCCGTGCCGTGTCGTATTGTGCGGATTTTCTTGTTTGTTGATTTGCTTGTTGGCTTGCTCGTTTGTTTGGTGGCTGGCTTGCATGTTTCTTGGTGTTTTTTCGTGCTGTTTTCCTCTGATGTGTTTGCTGTTGCTGCTGCCGGTGGGTTTGTTTGCATGTTTGCTTGTTTGTGGGTTGGTTGGTTGGTTTGTGGTTAGCTGTTTGGTTGTTTCGTTTTCGTTGCTTGTGTGTTTTATGTTCGATTGTTTGCTTGCATTCTTGCTTGACATTTTGCTTGCTGTCTTGCTTGCATTCTTGATTTTTTTTTGTGTGCTGCCTTGCTTGCATTGCTTTGCTTTGCTTTGCTTTGCTTTGCTTTGCTTTGCTTGCTTTGCTTGCGTCACTTGCGTTGCTTGCTTTGCTTGCTTTGCTTGCTTTGCTCGCGTTGCTTTCTTTGCTTTCTTTGCTCGCCTTGCTTGCCTTGCTTGCTTGCCTTGCTTCGCTTGCTTTGCTTGCCTTGCTTGCCCTGCTTGCTTTAATTGCTTTAATTGCTTCATTTGTTTGCTTGCTTGCTTGCTTCGGCGCCCCCAGCATCCCGACCCGAAAGCGATCGTGACCTGGCATTCCATGTCCCCAAAGGCTTGGATTGAACATCACCTTGTTGGCCCATAGGTGAGTTTCCCTAGAGGTGATATTTTACAGCAGAATGATAGGAATTCCTGTCAAACCCATGAACCAGCTCTCCAGTCGTTTTGGGACCAAACAAAACGGATCTGCTGGCAGACGTCCTCCAGGCGTGCTGTGTGGGCTCTCGTTTGCGCCAAGGCCAGGGAAGTGGGGAAGCTGAAAGCTGAAAGCACCCACCCAAATCGCGAAGACCTCAAAGGGCCGTTTTGAGGTCCGAAACCTTCCAATGAGGGTCCAGACCCCTCAAATGGAGAGTAGGATGCTTAGGCACCAACAAAGCCTTTAAGTGTTGAAGTTGAAAGGGAAACCAAAGACACCATCCCTCCAACAAAGATCGGCCCTTCCATGGTTGTTTCTTGGGCGGGTAGGGGTCGGTTTCGGAGGTCGACCATTGCAAACATTGAGGAGACAATATCACGCCTGCAGCACGGGTATGAACTTCAACTGTTCACCAGGGGTAATCCTTTCTCCCCAATATTAAGGTCCCCGGGTTTTGGGCCAGAACTGTTTCCAAGTAAGAACTTTTAAACGGAAGACACCCTTGTTTTTTGTTCAAAACGAACCTTCTCAAGGGAAACCAATGGAGACCCTAATCACATCAGCATAGACCCCAGATAGCAAGACCTCTAACAGCACCCCTGGACGCCCGCACTCCTCCAACAGCACCCGAAGCTGCATGCCTCCAAGCACCTTGCCAGCAATCTTGCAAAAAACGCCACGCCCCAAAACAGCACCTGCAACAGCACCCGCAAAACTGTGCCCGCACCGTCACATGCACCACAAACAGCTCCCCAAACAGCACACCCTAGCAACATTTGCACCACCAACTGCACGCCCCCCAGCACCCAGCCGTCAATCTCGCAAATCATTTTCCCCTCTTTATTAGAAGTTAGAACCCATATAGCCTTCAGCTATCTGGGGAATAAGGCAACCCTTGGGCGACCCCCAATACGCAGAGTTTCTCTGAGTGGACCGGGTTCGGAAGAATTTAGTATTGGGTGATTTAGAATAAGTATTTGGTGATTTTTGGGGTCGGCTGGGGGGGGTACTATTAGGGCAAGGTGTGTAAATAGCAAAACATATTGTTGTTTCAAGGCGAAGCTAAAGACGTTCATGCTGTGGACCAAACATGCATTCACGACTGCAACCCTAGACTGCCACATGTTTTCACGTGGAGCCCAAAGACCCATCCATGTTTAGAGGAATCTTCTTTAAGTGACATGCTGTTTGGGTTTCATGCTACCGCAGAAAGTGGCGCGCAGCGAGTGAGAAAAAGTTCCTGGCTTGGCAAACTGCAAACTGCCAGAACTCGAACCACGCTTTTGGAGGGATCCCATGTTTTGGTGTATGGTTCTCTATATTCCCCCTTTGGGTTGGTTTGAGAGCACTCACTTGTGGTCCAGTGTAAAGTGAGGTTCCTTCGCCCCTCCCCACCCGAAGTGACCATGCACAGGCACGGCCATCGCCGGTGCGGGATGGCCTTCTTGTGAGGCCACGGTAGTCTTTGTCAGTATGGCCACCCACTAAAAAAGGGAATTGGGGGAGGTGATTGGGATTTTGTTGAACAATCCGTTTTCTCTTTGTGGAAGACTTTTGAACGAAACCTGGCTGACCTGAACCCCACCCTTCTCCCCTGTAACTTGGTGGCCGACCTCACAGCAAAGCTGTAGACTTCAAGTAGCTGGCGCTTTGCAGCTGTCACTTTGCCCAAAGCCCATCTTTGGACATGTTTAGTTGATGCCTACCTCTGCTTTTTCCGCCGGAACCATGGTTTTGCTGTAAATTGGTTTCAGGTCCTTTGGGCAAACGAGAATCTCCTGTCTGCCAAAGACTCGACGTGGGAGTGCAGGCTGGACGCTGACAAGTTCTCGTGTCAGTAGCCTGCGGTTTGCATCTGTGAGAATGCTGGCAAAAAGTGCACCGCAACATGTGCAAGCTTCACTGTTCTTTGCCTGCGCTTGTGTGTTTGTTTGTTTTTGTGTTGGTTCTGTGGATCTTTCGTGAGTGGCTGCAAGAAACTCTGTTTTTCTTGGCTCACGTGCCAAGGGGGATGGCTTCGCTGTTGCTTTCCTGGATGTTGCGCCTAGAAACAATGAGAGATGGTGTGGGGATTGCGTGGTGGTTTTAGAGAATATTGACCCTTGATTGGCAACTAAATCTCCCCAGTATCAATCAAGGCTTTCTCCTGAAACATGTCCGCAAAGACAGGGACTCCCTGCAGACTAAGAATGCGGGGGCAGCACAACTTCGTGGATTGCGTGTCTCGGGACTTTGACTCGAAACTAATACCCCAAACTTTAAGCCTCGTTTCTATCCTCAAACTTTCCTGAGCTGAATGGTGGCTTCAAAGGGAAACAACAGGAACTAGCAGCATTGAAGTTGGAACACCCCGCAGCAAATCTGTTGCCAAAGGTGTAGGGCTCGAATGTTCGGGTCAGTTTGTGGGTCTCCGCTTTTCACTCGCAGCCGAGTTGTTTGGCTCCCTGCCTTGGTTGATGTATCGGTCCAGGGCGGGGCTCGATCGTTTTCCGCTCACATGTCCAATCCGTACGCGCGTCAAGACGAAACGGGAGAAGACTGAGAGAAGGCCAGCACGAAGCCACAAGGCACCAGTACCTTGTCGTGGACAGTGCCCCAAAAACTGCAAGATGGATTGCCCGAGGTCGCCACCATTTTTACGTTGCCCAGAGTCAGCCATTCTTCAGCAGCTGCAAAACTGCGTGACCGAATTTTGGGGGGGCCACTACAAAGACCTCGTGGTCCCAGGTGCCTTTGCCGCTGGCGGATGTGAACCAGGCGGTTTGGGGATGGGCAAGTTGGGGATTGGGGGGGCTGGCCTTTTGCTCTTGTTGAAAGCCAAAAGTGTAGGCTCAAAACCTTGCTGTTGGCCGAATGTATGTGCTTGTTCTTTTAGTCTTGGAATCTTTGAAAATCAGAATTGGGTGTGGATTCATGTCCACCAACCGCTTTTGAGGAGGTTCCAACTCTTGAAATTCCGTTCGGCGCCTGGCCCCCCAAATCGTAGGTGTCGACTCAAAGCCGGGCTTAAAACGCAGCGACCTATCCCAGGCAAGTATTTTAGGGGACCACGATTTGGGTGTGTTTTTTTTTGGTGCATTTTGCTTGGATGTTAGGACTTTAACTTTTTGCCAACTAATGGATTTTCCATTAAACTACTAAAAGTTAAACTTTAGCAGGGGAGCAGAAAGCAACAGAGTCTTGCTGGTTCTCAGGGAATGAGAAATGGAACTACCCAGAATGGTATCCTTTTAATCCCTGGACCATTCCCTACGCAGCACCGGCAAGTTTTTTGTTTTTTCTGAGTTACCACCATGTGTGTCTTGTTTGAAGGGAAACCAATTGGAAAACCGCTGCGCCATTTTGAGATTTGGCGGCCAGCGACAAAAAATGACGCCCATTTGGAGAAACACCCCGCTGACATCCCCCAGGTTGATTCTCTTTAGGCGGAGCGTGACACCGAAGGGCAGGGTCTCCGTTTCCGGGACGGTGCAGAGAAGTTGACGTTTGACAGCTGGTGCAGACAACGGCGGGGGATCCAATTCTCTTGGAATGCGGTGTGACGCAGTATTGAGCAAGTCATAATCTCCCAAGAAGAGAAAGGCTCGAATTTACATTGGCATGGTGAGCGAGCATCAGGATCTGGGATTGTACGTTTGCAGAGCAAGCAGCGGCGTGGTGCAGAAGTTTCATGGAGGAGCAGTTGAGGTGTTTCCTTCTCCTCTGAGACGTCGACGGCGGGGTGGCAAGGATGGCACTGGGCCCGGTTTGCCTGAGAGGGATGAGCGACCTCCGTTTCCTCGCAGGAAAAGACCGGTGCATGCCGAGGAACCAGTCCACAACTAGGTCCCACAGCAATCGGTGCCCTTTCTCACCAACTTGTTTTGGGTGGGAGGGTTCCCCTACTGAAATAGACCACAGAAAAAGTTGGCACCCTTGTTCTAACCTCTCTACTGGAGGACCTAGACAAGATCATTTCTTGCAAATGTGACTCTATTGAAAGTCCTCGGGAGAGTTGAAGTCCGCGTTCCAACCAACTGCTTGGGATCTTGGGACAGAAACATTCGCTGGAGGTGAGCAGTCAATTTGCACCTCGTCAGCGAGTGAGACCAGTGTGTGTAGGTTGTGACATGTGAATCCCTTACCATCCGCTTGGTTCCCTTCGAGTGACCTTTTGGCGAAGCGGGAGGATTGAGCTGTTGAAGCTGTTGAAGATCCGGGAGGGGGGCGGTTTTTTCAAGGGGGACCCTTCACTTCTTGGGCGAAAAACTACCTATCTGCCACAATCTGGTCCAACAACATTCGAGCTCATGGAACGCCCCCTGCACCTTCTTCAAAGGAGACCCAAAAACTGGCCGTTTCATCCACGAGCCCCGAACTAGCTTCGCCATGCGCCAGGGCTAGCTCGGTTCCGTGGGTTTGCCCAAAGGTTTTTTGGCGGTGCCTTGTTTGGGTTCAAGCACTCACTTCCTGAGTTCATGAACTTTACACTTTTGGTGAAGACCATTTTAGTGGTAAATATACAGTTTGGACTGTTTTTGGGCCATCCACTCAGCCAGTGAGTGCACCAGTCTCCAGCTACCTTTCAGAGAGAGCGCACTAGAGCCACCTCTCATTGCAACGCCTCACCCGAGCTTTTGCTCGGATCCGTTTGCCCCCAGCTTTGAGCATTGATGGCAAGAGGCCAGATGGCAACAAAAGAAGGCTGATTTTTGCCGAACATGCATTCAATCCATGATTTAGTCACACATACGTACAAATATAGTGTATAGCATGTATGACATAGAAAATGCATGTATATATTTATGTATTATAGATATAATGCATGCATACATATGTGTGTACATATATATATATATATACGTATATCTATATATTTCTCCAATTATCCAATTTTTCTCTGGGTGGTTATTTATGGATGAGATCGAAGCTTCCCCGGGCGCTGCTTGAGGCCCAGCTGCGGCGCCGCGAGGCGGCGATGCTGGAGGAGGCCTGCGGGAGCCTGCGGGAGCCTGCGGGCCGCGTGCGGGCCGCGTGCGCCGGCGCCACGGGCGCAGCGTGGGTAGGCGAAAGCCACGGTGAGGGAAGTGGGTTAGCCCATTTTGAGTTTGAACTCCCTCCCTGACTTGGACTTGAAACTTGGGTCCCCGAACCACTGGCATCTAAGGGTGGAAGACTTGTTAGCCCTTTGCTTCCCTGGGTTCCAAGCCACTGGATAGAACCACATCAATTGGTCCCCCAGCGAAAGGGTGCCCGACCTCTCACCAACTTTTTTTGGGTGGGAGGGCTCCCCTAAAATAGACTACAGAGAAAAGTTGGTACCCTTATTCTAACCTCTCTACTGGAGCACCTAGACATAGTAAGTAGATTAGAACCACCTGGTAGGTGAGACCCCCACTTAGGAAGTAGGTTATGATCATGGTTCTTTTGCTAGTGTTGATAGGTAGGGAATGACTTTCCGAGGCCGGGTGTTGGTGGAATGAACCCGTTTTGGTTGGATTCCCTGAAAGGAAACCACAAGGGATTGTTGAGAGGGGGTCATTCCCTCATTCCCAGCTGAGAAGGGTCATTCTTATGACTGTTTCTGGGGGTGATCAACGTCAGAAACTGTGGGTTCCTTTCGCCCAGTTAGTTAGACCCCACGTACATCTTCGGAAAGACTTAGATCGACCAAATGAGATGTACCTTTATAGCAGTCTTGGTAGAACCTTTTTTTTGGCACCAAACGACGATCCCGTGTTTAGGATTGCCGTGACCTAACTGCCGGGGTGGGCTGATGGTTTGAATTTTGCACGGTTCCTCCAAAGCAGCCACGAATTTTGTCAATAGGTGAATGTTTAGACTCCCGATTTGTCTATTATGTGATGTTGTGAACAGATCCTGATTTGTCTATGGAAAACATGCGCCCTCTACATGATCAATGTGATTTGCGTGGAGTGCACGGAAGTAGTGAACTCTTGATTGGAGAGATTTTCCGCGCTGTCGGCCACTCCGAAGCTAGAATTGGTCCCCCAGTAGTGCCCTTTTACCCTGTTTTGGGGGAGGGTTCGGTTGCCCTACTAGAGTAGACTACAGAAACAAAATCGGGTACCCTTATTCTAACCTCTCTACTGAAAAAACCTAGTAGTCATGCCTGAAGGGTTCGCCCAATGTTGCGTGGCAGATCACAAAGCCCACTTCCATTGTTGTTGGGAAACATTTTACATGTTTGCTTGTTGTGGTTTAGTGGTTGAAATCCCCACTGAACTGCTAAAATTTAATTTTTTACTTCCCTTCCAACGTCAACCAAACTTCCCCCCAGCTCAACTCGCCTTCGGCGCCAGTTGAGCTTCTGGCAGTCGGAGGCAGGGTGCGAGGGACGGCCGGCGGCACGTGCTCTTCCTCTGACAAGGGCCCCTATATATGGGAATGAGTCAAAATTAAACCACAGGTACAACTTTGGGTGTCATCTTTTCGATGCAATACCCTGAACCCAAGGTTTGACCACATATTTGGGTCTGGGTCAAAATTAAACCACCAGGATATGGACCTCGGGAATTTTAGTCCTTGGTTCCATTTACCAGGGCGTTTGAACAGCATATCTTGATGTTTAGGGGCACCACAAAAACTGGGGGGGCGACCCAGTTTTATTTGTGGGAATCATTTGAGGTCTGTGATCAATTTGAGGTTCGCGACATGAGGGGGCTCCCTGAATTTCGAACAACCAGGGACGCTACGCTGGAGGAAAACCGTTTATTTCTGTGGCGGTCATTGATTCCCCAAGGAAGTCACGTATGGATTTTGCCGCTCGTGGCTTTTTTGAGCTGCTGGTTTTGGGGGAAGGTTTGCTTAGTCTTTTTGGCAACCTTTTCCGCGGCTCCCTATGTTTTTGCGGTTGGTGGCCTTGATCTATGCTCCCTGCAAGAAATCGTGGAACTTTGGCGGTAACCCAAAAGGAGCCCGAAAGGAGGTTCCTGTTCACGCTAGCTTGCAGAATTGATATGGCTTTGAGTCAAAACCAATGGTACCATTTTGGGATAGGTGCACCACCCATTTTAGTGGAGATTGGGATGTTCACTGGGGGTTTCCATGTCTTATCCTTCTGTTGACGCTCAGCGATTTTTCAAACGGAGCTCAGCGCCCACAAAAGGGCATGAATGCCGCCAGTGCAAAACAGGCATGCAAGCTTGCACCCGCCAGAAAAAGAAATTTCGGGGCCGGGTCGCATGAGTCTAGGCAAAATCATGTTTCAGGGTGGGGCAAAAATGAGTTCCTTCAAAAATAGCAAGCCGAAACTTGGGTTTCTTCCACGTCTTCCAGGTGATTCCCACTTGAGACCTTGGAATCGGTCGATGGCTGACCCGAGCCTTGCCCTTCCTCTCAGTCCTACCACGTTTCGGGGGATTTCGACCTCGCCTCGGTGGATGTGTTTGCCGTGCAAGTAAATCAACTAGGCTCAGCCCCCAAAAGAAAGAAACTCTCCAAGCAATGTTTCTGCCATAGTGTTGCAAATCAACCAACCACCCTCAACCCAACCCCCCCCAAATAAATAAATAAATATGTATATATATATATAATATGGTGAAGTATGGGAATGCAACCACCCTCAACCCCAAAACCAGGGTGAGCTGCGGGAGATCAGGGGCTTTCCTCTCCCTCCTTGGACTACTTCTGGGAAGGTTTTGGACGGCATTTGAACGGACATATGTAAATGGATGTCTTTGAGGGTACCGTCTTCGGGCGGCTTTTAGTGGCAACCGAAAAGGGCATTGAACGTTTGGCAGGCGCAGGAAGCCCAGCGAAGGGCCGAGGATCACTGCGCCGAGGCGGAGCGGCAGCAGCGCGAGGCGCTGGTGGGAGAAAAAAAAAACTCCCCAGGTGAACGGAAGGAACCTGAAAAGGGGCGTCGCAAAAAATGGGGGGGGGGATGTTGTTTGCGCTAGTATCGCCTTGTCTTTACATGTGTGGTCAAAGCAGCTAAGTGGTGAATGTCCATGATTTTCCAGTTTTTTCCTTATATATATAATTGTATGTGTTTTATAGTTGTTGTTGTTGTTGTTGTTGTTGTTGTCGTCTTTTTTTGGAGTGTTGCTTTTGTTGAATGTATGTTAAAGCAGCCATCTCCACTCAACAAAACTTCTTTTGGGGGCGGAGGCTGCTGCAGGTCTGGGACACCCTCACCCTGCTCGACTCAACTGAACGTTACGAGTTTTTTGGGGCACGAGTTCGAAAAACGTTTTGTTCACGACAAGTCACCTATGCCAGATGCCAGGGATGGTTCACTTGTAATCAACATATGGAATCAACCGTATCCAGCTTGTATGGATGAGCAAAGGGTAAATGACTGGTACCAGGGACACCTGCTCCGGCAAGTCGACAGGGCTCATTCACAACGCTGTACATGGCAGTCAGCTTCTGCCCTCTAATCAGACGATTTAACAAAATAATATCTAGGTCCCCTAGTAGTGCCCTTTGACCGTTTCTTTTTTTGGGGGAGGGTTCCCCTACTAAAATAGACTACAAAAAACAATTGGGTACCCTTATTCTAAGCACTCTACTGGAGGACGTAGACATGCAAGTCCGGAAGGGTTGGTTGTTTGGCCAGAGCCTTAAGTTTTTATCTCATTGGAGAACGAGGGTTTCCGCCGCTGCCCCCCACCCCTTCCTCCTACCTTTGAAACACCTGTTTTGGGACTCCTTCAAACATGGGCAAGCATGGAACCCCAGTCCCTTCCCCTTCCCCCCGGTGCGGTCACTTCGGGCCTATGTTGCAACCATTCAGGCTTTGCCAGGGTTGGTGCTGCGCAAAACTGCTCAAAGTGACGGTGCAATTGCTGCAACAGCCTTTGCCAGGGTTGGTGCTGCGCAAAACTGCTCAAAGTGACGGTGCAATTGCTGCAACAGCCAGTTTGGGTTCTCCCACAAATGAAAAGCGGCAGTGAGACGGTGACACGTGATTGCCTGCACGAGTGCTCCGTCTTTGGTTGGCCGAAATGAAGAAGGATCTTCCGAGTATGTTCGAAGCGGGGTAAAAGCGAACTCTTTCAGCCGGCGCTGGCTTTTTCCCCGCGGTTGGCCGTTTGTTGTGGTTTGTCGGGGCTCCCAGCCGCTTTTTTTTTTTTTTTCGTGTGTAGTGGTTGGATTTCCAGTTAACCCACGAAAAGTTCAACTTTTAGCGGTGGATCTGAGGACCGCCCAGGTTTAAGTGATGCGTTTTGCCCAAGGAGCTGGACACATGGCAGAACGGAGTAGAGAAGAATCTGAAGTTAAAACTGACCGCCTGTTCAGGATGCTCGAATTTCGCAAGAGAGCATGGGCGACTGTGGACATTGCAGAACTCGAAGATCTGAAACACACCTTTCCATTTCGCGACAAATGAACTGTTGACCGTTCAGATGCCAGTAAAGATCGCTGAGACCCCAACCCCGCAAACTCAAAAAGGGTGTTCCTTCTCTAAAGAGAGATGTGACCAACCAATCGTCTCCCCCCAACAACAACTTCAGCTGGCCCTTTCCGGGCCCAAACATCGTTCAAACTTGCCCTTTCCGACTAAGGAATTACAGAGGAAGTGCAAGTCAGTTTGAATATGCATTGGTTTCGGATTTTGTTTGAGATCAGTTTAGTATCAGTTTGTACAGTTCAGCATTGCCTTAGTATTGGTTCTAAAATGTTCCCTAAGAAGACTGGAGTTGGAGTCGGCGAGAAATTTGCTTGTTTAAAACTGATTCAGTGTTGCAAGATTTGGGGTGTGATAAATCAAAAAGTTCATGAACAGGGTGCATCTATTGTTAGACGGAAGTGATTGATCAAAGGGAGCTTCTTACCCTTCAGGGAGTATTTCTTAATGGGGCCAGAGTAAAAAGCCCCAGTCTGAGTAGAGGTGGTAAGAATGTTGCCTAGCAGATCCCAGTTACCGATATAGCAGGCAACGAGTTTTTTTTGTTTCTTCAAAGGATGGTTCCCTTGGTCAAACTTGCAGGTTCCCTACGTCACTGGATGAAAGTCACTGGGTTGCATCTTACTATTTGGGTGTGTCTGTTTTTCGGGGTCCCAAAAATTGGGCTTTTCCTGTTGGTGTCCTTCAAACACCACAGGGATACCCTCCCAAAAAAAAAAAACACAAAAAAAAAACAACAACAAACAAACAAACAAACAAACAAACAAACAAACAAACAAACAAACAAACAAACAAACAAACAAGCACGTGTTTGACGAGGGGGTTCTTTTGTTCCGCAGGCCGACCACTTGCGGCGCGCGGAGGCGCAGAGGGAGCGCCCGGGCAGCCCAGAGCCGAAGTTGAGTGAAGTGCCACAGATTTCAAATGGCCGTGGGTCAAAAATAGGGAATTACATGGAAATCTGGTAAATGTAAACATGGACCAAAACCTGCGTAACCGTTTAACCCCTGGTGGCTTGATTTTGACCCATACCCAAATGGATCCCCCCCTTCCTTTTGGGAAATGTTGACCCCGCACTAGTCAACCCCAGCTGAGAAACAATCAAAACCTGGGTAGATGAAGGTTAGCAAGGGATGCTCCCAGCCAGAAATAGCTGCGGAATTCCGCCTTCTTAATTCTTTACATGGTTCTGGGTCAACCATTTCTATACCAAGTTTTGATTTTGATTGAGCTGGCGGGGGTGTGAGTGCGACCCAAAAGAGAGACTCAAGAAAGGCGCCCAGAGGTGTGGTTTTGGATTTCGGCGTGCCCCCGGCTCTGAAAAAATGCCGAAGAGCGAATTCCAGACGCAAGTCGCTGGCGAACACTTCGACCCATCCGAGCAAAGAAGAATTTGAGGGAGTTTGGGGGTCTTTGACCCAAAGGGGCCCCTGGAAGCCTCTGACAAGCTGATCTTCACCAACAGAGGGCCCCTGACGCGGCTCGTGGACCTCCCAACCTGGAAGTCTCTATGACCCTCTAACTCAGTTGAGTGCTGGAGCCTAGGCCACGAACAGGCGCGGGTGGGGAGATGGGTGGTTGGACGTGGCAGTTGCGAACGCCAAATCCACGAGCTCCTCATGTCCTTCCATTGGCGGAATTTCACATCCAAAAGGGAACTGGATACTAGGTCTCTGAGTACTGCCCTTTGAACCTTTTTGGGGGAGGGTTCCCCTACTAAAATAGATTACAGAAAAAAGGGGTACCCTGATTCTAACCTCTCTACTGGAGGACCTAGGATATGGCCGGTCAATCTGATATCCTCTTCCTCGCACCTTCCCTTCATTGAAGTCCGACGCCCTTTTTTCTTGGGAACCCTTCGGACCCGGGCTTCCCATTCCCCCCTTCTCGTGGCAGACTCAAGCGGAAAGATGGGCTGTATCCCCTCACGGGCAAGGTCTTGGGAAGGGATTGGTGGCTAGTCTTAAGGGGGTGGTTTCCAGGCAACTGCCGTGCAAGCAAAGAACCTGGGGGTTTTCTCTGGAGCCTCCAAGTTGTATTCAGCGGAGCCCTCGAAATCCTTTTTGTTTGGTGGGTTCCAGTAAATCTGGGTGTCCTCCCCAAACAGGACATGTAGCGCATTGCAGCACCCAAAATCTCAACTGGCCATGTTGGTAGGTGGTTCTATTGCGCTAATTGGGACTTATTGTAGTGCACATGATAGTCTTTGTTACTATGTGGGTAGAATCAAGGGTCTTGGCCATTAGAAAAAGGCTGATAACTTGATTTCGTGGGTTGCGTTCATAAGGTGACCGGCGCAAGGAGTTTCGGTGTTTGCTACCCAGCTGCACCCAAAACCTCGATTGGCGATTTCAGTGGGTGGTTCTACCTGGTCTCATGTGGCTACGCGAGCCTTACCATGTTGGCAGGAACTGCAATGGGTGAAACGAGCGGTTCTCAACCGAGCCAGGCTCCCTTTGTTTGCTGGGTCAACCGGTGTTAGGTATGGACCGCACGTGTGTTTGCAGATCTCTGGCGCCTTAGCTTTGGTTTCATGGCCCGCGTGAGACCAACCTGGGAAGCCAGAAAGTGAGAAAGAACTGAGTTGAACCTCATGTTGCATGGGCCAAATCCTGCTTCGCGCCGGTTGGCCTGGACGCCTTTTTCGGTTTAGGATAAACCGCAGAGACGGGGCGATTCGAGAGCGTACCGGGTTGTTGGTGTTCGAGCGCAGGAGAAGGTGGAGGAGGCGAAGCGGGGCTTGATGCAGCAGGCCCTGAAAGAACAGGCGGGCCTTTGTTTTTTTTTGGGGGGGAAGGGGAGGGGGAAGTGGGGAAAGGGGGGGGGAAGTGGGGGAAGTGGGGGAAGTGGGGGGGGAGGGGGTGAAGTGGGGGAAGTGGGGGCGGGGGGGGGGAGGGGAAGTTGGGGAAGTGGGGGAAGTGGGGAGTGGTGGGCGGGAATCCCCTACAAAATATTCCAGCTATCAACCGAAGCACATGTGTCAACGAACTCCATGTGGGTCGAAACAAACAGGAAGAGACTGTTTCTTGGAGATGCTGCGGGTATGTGTCAAAGAGGGCGACCCCGAAAAAAATCTGGTGGGTTTTCCTTTGGCGTCCCTTTTAAGCGTTTTGAGCCTACAGAAAGGCTATCGGGGCTGAAACGAGGGAGCTCGCCCAAGCGGCTTTGCCGGGGGGGGGGGGTATCTCATTTCCAATGTTGGGGATGATCGGGTTGTGTCTTTTTGGAGGGTACTCTTTTTAACGTGTGCAACGGTGTTTTTGAAAGGGAACCGAAAGGAAACCTTCCCCTTTTTGGAGGTTCCCCTATTTTGAGACCAACCCCCGTTTATTCGTCTACCAAGAGGTCCAACACTCAAACCCGGGAGGGTTA